CACTACTGTCCTTTTGAAGTTTATTCTTGTGATCCTTATTTCTAATTTTTTTATTTTTAGTTTTTTGCATGAATTGACATAAAACATTGTGGTAGCAGATTTCTACTGGGCCTGAAGCACGACAGATAACAGGTCCAGCAACTCCGGCACAACTCAAGAACTATGCATTATGTCAACATCTTCAAGAAATTCATACGCGCATCTGATCTATGATGACCGGACTTCCCAATATCATTTCCGACATAATAATGTCTCCATCACTAGGTGCCATGTACGGGGTTGCTTGCGACTCGGTGACATCCTTATTCCAAGCCATGCTTGACCGTCTTGAGTCTTGCATCCTGCAGATTCATGAACAGAATTTTAGCGGGCTTGGTATGGATGCTGCAATGGAAAACAATTTATTGCCTTACATGGAAGAATTATAGAAATGCATTCTTCACTTTCGTAGCGAATTCCTATCTCGACTTTTGCCTTCTTCGACAAATACTCTCTTTGCTGGGACAGAAAACATATGCACTCGGCTCGTCACGAGCATGGCTTCACGGGTTTTGATATTCTTTATCAGGCATGCTTCGCTTGTTCGGCCCCTTTCAGAATCGGGCAAATTGAGAATGGCTAGGGACATGGCTAAGCTGGAATTGGCCGTGGGCCAGAACTTGTTCCCAGTTGAATAGCTTGGTGCGCCGTGCCGGGCCCTTTGAGCTTTCTGACCCGTCATTTTCTTGATAACATCTCAACTGGGTTTATCTTCTCTTTTGCAAGATTTGCCCCTAAGTGTCATACTTCACCATTTTTATTCCCGTGGCGTGGAAAAATTGCAGTCGCCGACGCAAAGGAACAAACTCACACCACTACAGTATTTGCTATGGCTCGATTCTCAAGGGAAGGATCAGATTTGGAAATGCGTCAGAGCAACTCTGGATGATTATGCTGCAGAGGTGAGAGTAAGAGGAGACAAGGAGTTTAGTCCTGTATATCCTCTTATGCTTCGAATTGGTTCGGCATTACCAGAAAAGACCGTGTCCCAAAAATCTTGATGAATGTTGTAGCTCTAGCGAAGCTCGATAAACTAGTGTCCACTGGCTTTTTCGCTATTATAGTGCCATTGCAGGCGAGGTAACTTGGCTGAATTATATTAAGTAGGAGTTATACTGATTTCTTTTGAGGTATATGATGGATTATTCAGTTATTGTCAATTCTTTAGGGCTTTGCTGACCCTATCTCAATCCTTATTCCTTATGTAGGCTTGATTACCATCTCTTTTTGATTATTTTTTATTTTTTGGTTCCCCTATTTTAGTAATGATATGTGTACACTTCTTTATAGTAAAGCATTCTTCATTTCCTTTAGTATCAATTTATCAATTGAATGCTTTACCACTCTATAGTGAAATAATAATTGTGAAGTTGTGAAGTTGATCCCTATCTGTGCAATATGGTAATATTCTGAAGATTTGTATGGAAGACCCAAAAAAATTGATTGATGAGAGCTATGGTTAGTTTTTTTAGTTTTTCCTTTTATGTTTATGAGTTGTTTTCATGTTTTTATTTTAATTTCTCAATTTTAAATAAATCATACATTTAGGCCATTTAATTATAAAAAATCTTACAAATTTCTTCCTTCTAAAGGATTCAAAAGTGATGCCTATAAAAAATTGTATAAAACTTTTCCTTTGTGAAATGGTCCAAAATGTACAGTTTTGAAGGGATCTTAGAATCAATCTAACAGATGCTTATGCAATGACATTTATTTATCACGTTCAAATCAAGACATTATATGATATTATTTTAAACAGTGGTATTACATGTATCAATTAGGGTTTGTTTTGGATGTGAATGGGCTTTTTAGCTTTTTATTTATTTTAGCTTGGGGTTAAAAAGTCTCGTTTGGCTTTTTGGACTTTTGTGAGAGAACAAATGTAGGCTAGGTTTGGTTTGTTTTTCAGAAAAATTTTGGGGGATTTGGTGATAGCCCCCTCACTATCTAATTTATCTTTCAAAAGGACAAGAATTATATAAGTACTTTCAAAACCCCCATCAACATATGTTAAATTTTAACACTGTGATTCTACTCATTATATAAATTATAAATATTCAAATTTTTTAATTAATATACTAATAGATAATCTTATATGTATTCATTAATGTATTATTTAATATACTAATAGATAATGTGACATAATTTTAAAGGTTTTAAATATTTGTAATTTGTATAATAGATGAGTCAATAATAATAACATAACACTTGATATACTAATGTGTAAATTAATTAGTGCATGTAACACTCTGTCTAAAAAAAATTCTTTCTCTCTCATCACTCCCTCTCTCTCTCTCTCTCTCTCTCTCTCTCTCTCTTTGTAGATATATATCTATATTGGCCTGGCGGCAAACCTTTGTCAAACAGTAGTAACACTACAGGAAATATTAGTTTTGGGGGCGTATTTTTAACGACATTTTTTAAAACGCCATTGTTTGTAATATTTAACGGCGTTTCATAAGCGTCGCATTTTTCTCTAATCAAAACGGCCATTTCCAAGATCTTACATCGGTGATTCATTAGAGCCATTTCGAAGTTCTCTCTCAAAATCGATTCAGATCGGTGAGCGACTGTCTCTCTCTCTCTCTTTCTCTCTCTCTCTGCTGTTTCAACCCTAATTATCTCTGTCAGTTCAGCTCTGTGATTGAGAGATTCATCTCGGTCTCAGCGAAACAGATCGGTGATTCATCAGAGCTATTTCAGTTCTCTCTCGAAATCGAAATCGAATTTCATCTCAGCGATTCAGATTGGTGAGCTCCATTGTCTTTGTCTCTATCTGTCTTTCTCTCTCTCTCTCTCTCAAGCTGAACTGACATTTGAATTAATCTGAACTGATATTTGATTCTGACCTGAATATAAATATATATGTATATATATAGCTGAAGTCATTCTTGTACAACTATTTGGAATAAATTAATTTGGGTTCATATATTGGGAACACTCTGCTAATTACTTTAATAATGGCAGCAAGAACACTCTGCTAATTACATTATTAATTATAAAAAGTATATATTTGCAATTTTTTTTTTGTTTTTTTTTTTTGGGGGTCAAAAACAAAATCAACATATTAAGATATTTTTATTCATGATTTTAGAAAGAAATATTTAAGACTTTACATGAGCCCATCAACCACAAGTTTTGGAGCCGACACTGCTCAGGATTTTCAAGATTGTCTTGCTAAAGTAAAAAAAACTCATCCCTTATTGCTATATTCCATAAATATATCCCCATTGTTTATTTATTAATACCAACAACATCATCCTTGATTTAAAAACATTAATGTTTTGTTTCTGAACTTGGCATTTGAAAAAATAATGTTGCTTTTGTATCTATATCACTGATTCTACAGACCTGGTGCCACAAACAAAACATTGTACTCTGATTATTATTCACGCATTTTGGCACCTTACAGTGAATTTATTCATTTATCCCACATCAGAAAACAAGAAGTGAATGCCGCTGCTATAACCCTTGTCCCTAAGGTACTTAACCCAGCGGCATGACTAATTACCGACCTATATCTTGAGACAATACTACTTATAAAGTCCTTACTAAGATTATCGCCAATAGGTTGAAGCAAGTCATCCATCTTTTGGTAGATACCTGCCAAACTGCTTTTATTTGTGGGAGATCTATTTATGACCAAATTCTTCTCATGCAAGAGTTAGTAAAAAATTACCATAGAAGTAATGCATCTCCTAGATGTGCTATGAAAATAGGCATCATGAATGCTTTTGACTCTTTTTCTTGGCAGCTTATCCTTGGTATTTTGGGTAGTTTTCAACGCCCTTTGAAGTTCAGAATTGGAATGCCTCTTGTATCACCTCTCCCAAGTTTTCTATTTCCATTAATGGTATTTTGGAGAGATACTTTCCTGGTGCTAAAGAGTTGAGACAGGGGGACCCATTAATATACCTTTCGTGATTGGATGAGTTAAAGTTTAGAATTTGAGGAGGTGGGAGTGAGCAACTTTGAGCTTGGGATATCAATATGGGTTGCCCAAAATCATTCTCTATTAGTGGCGGAATGGGCGCTGCATTATTGACTAAGCTGGAGCTTATTCATGATGTATGTGGTACATGGCATTCATGGAGTTCTATTTTTCTTTTTCCTTCTTTGTTTATTGTTTGAACTAAAAGCATTAACCCTCATGTTGTTTCTGTGTTGATCTAGATATTGACGACATTAAAGCGAAATTTGGACACACTAGTAACATGTAAGATTCAACTTCTAAAATCATCCCAGGATACGGTAGAATTAGCATGGAGAATCGAGAAAGCTGGTGTTTCTGCTATAGCTCATTTGGATGATTAATGGTTTGGGATATTTCTAAACTCTTGCATAACACTGAATATTTTATTTATTTATTTTTGGAGTACTGAAATTTGGTTGGTGCACTCTGTTGAAGCTTTATTGTTACACAATTAGCTTTATTTGCATTTGAAATTGCATGATGTCTTGTTCAATTAGCATTGTTCAAATTAGATAGCTTCCAAGCAATTTTCTCTTTGTAATTCATATCTTATACTTTCCAGGAGGTAGCTAAACAATCAAAGCATTATGTAATACTCAATCTTGATGGCTTATATAAAATTGGTTCATCTAGTATGGTTGTTAGGTTTGCAAGTTTAAAGATGAAGCTTCAATAAAGAGCTTAGAATGTAGAATTTGCTAAAAGTCTCACCCTCTTTAACCTCTAGAGGCAAAATTTCTCTTGGTCATTTTTGTTTAGAATCATTTAGAAATGATCACAGGACAATCCCATCATGATCACAGGACAATCCAATCATTTTATCACAATCATATATAATGCCGCATTGATATCATTCTTGGAAAAAAAAAATTTTAAAACAAATTTTGAAAAAAAAATTCAAAATAAGTACACTGTGAGCTAAAGTTGTTGCTGGGAGAATTGTGTATGAAAGAGAGGAATTCAGGATTCATTTGAAGTAACTGAAACAATGCAGCTTCTTTACGAAAAACTTGGTGGCCTAAGAGTTGGAGCTGATGGAGACATGGGAGTGGATGATAAATCGATTGCCCTTGATGCCGTCAACAAGGAAGCTATTGATCTGGTATGTCCTTAGAACTATCAATTGAACCAAAATCCATAAGTCTGTTTGGTTGTGTTTTTGTTTTCTGTTTTTATCTTCTAATCTTCCCTTTTCAGTTACAATTTTGTTGCTTGTTGTCTCCTCAGAACTAACTATCAATTGAAACAAAATCTATTGAGTTACAATTCTGTTGTTAATGTGCTTTTTTTCCCTTATTTTCTTTCTTAAGTTAATGCTCTTGTACACCCTTGAATTCTTTCATGATGATTAGTGTGAATATAAGAACTAGAGAGTGTATTTAAATTAATCTGCTGAGTTAGTATGAGAAGTCCAACAAAATGATTTGGTTCTTCTTGCAAGTCTTCTTAATTTCGTTACATGTGTTTTTCTATGCTTCAAATGAATATAACATTTGATGAATTAATTTCTGGAGGGGGATATAAAAAAATAAAAAAATAAAATAAAATAAAATAAAGGGAAAAACAAAAGACAATGGAAAAAAGCTCAATAAATGATGTAGCAATGATAGCAAGAGGGAACTAGCTATCATTCTCATATCCATGAGGTAAGCCTTGAATCCACCAAGAGAAAATACCAAGATCAGTAATGTTATTAAAGTTTCTATCCTTCAATGGACACTTACAACTCTATAAACTGAATTATCATATTCTTAAGAAAACATGAAACAAGAAGGAAAACTGAAAACTATATGAAAATAAAAATAAACAAAATAAAAACTAACACTATAAAGTCTTGGAACTATGCCAAACAAACGGGGTTAAAATTTAAACTCTTTATTAAAGTTATGGCTATAAGAATACTATCCACAACTACAAAATAGCAAAAACAAAATTTTGAAAGCCTAAATGATAGAATTTGGCCAAAAATGGCTTATCACCGCTATGCAGCGAGTTTCAGCCCACTGGCCGAATTGGGCCATGCTGAATCAAACATGGGTGTTTCGGTCCAAATTTGACGACTTTGACTGGTTGCCCAAACTCGACAACAAGCTTTGTCCATCATGAATAAAGGTGATATTGAATTTGTAATTTGCTTCATGCAGGAGAACATGCCCCTCAAAGAAGTATTTGAACATCTCAAATGTACAAAAGAGGGTCTGAGTACCGATGCAGTTCAAGAACGGTTGGAACTGTTTGGATACAACAAACTTGAAGAGAAAAAGGTTAGGAAAATTTATGTTGGATAACTTCCTTTTCTTTTTCCACATCTCATCTTATCTCTATTTTTTTTTTAACACTCGGTGATTTATTGTATACTTTTCTTTCTTCCCTAGGAAAGTAAAATATTGAAGTTTTTGGGCTTTATGTGGAATCCTCTGTCATGGGTCATGGAAGCAGCCGCTTTAATGGCCATTGCTCTTGCACATGGAGGGGTAAATTTACATGCTCTTATCTTACTTTAGTATAGTGTTGACTTATCATTTAGTCAAAGCTTCATTATGCGCGCGCAAGACAATTTAAGATTATTCTATACTGACAAACCTTATTTTGTGCAGCATAAGGGCACAGATTATCATGACTTCTTTGGCATCTTGATCTTGCTCATTATCAACTCTACCATCAGTTTTATTGAGGAAAATAATGCTGGCAATGCGGCTGTTGCTCTTATGGCTCGATTAGCTCCAAAAGCCAAGGTTTCCCTCTTCCCGAATAAATACAGATCAAAAATTTTGTTTTCTATTTCTATTTCCTTTTTTTTCTCTTGAACTTTCAACATAAGTAAGGGAATGACTTATATTTGACTCTCTAATTACTCCTTCTAGGTCCTGCGTGACGGGAAGTGGAGTGAGGAAGATGCTTCAGTGTTAGTTCCTCTTGAAGGAGATCCTCTAAAAATTGATCAGGTATGTGATTCACTCCAAAATATGAGTTATCTCAACTTTTACATACACAGTCTAGTTGAAAAAAATAAAAAAATAAAAAATTGTTGTGCACTTCTTTTGCTTGGATAGGTGTTGTAAGCAGTCTTCAGAGTTCTGCATCTAGTGGAAGTTGATAAAGTCTATGAAAACAAAATTTTACATCTAACCCTCAAGTTCTTAGCTCTTACAACTTCATTACGATTTAAAGAGCCAGTGATTTCTTCAAAATAATTTACTTTCCAGGGTTTGAGATATTTAATATGTCTCTGACATTTGCAGTCTGCTCTTACCAGAGAATCACTTCCTGTAACCAAGATTTGAGATATATAAATATCTGATTTATGTTCTCTAGAGGTTGAAAATACTCGAAAGAAGATGCAAAGGCTGTCGTGGTACAGATTTTGAGTGTGGTTGCCTACTGTCATCTCCAAGGTGTAGTTCATCGTGACCTCAAGCCTGAGGTAATGAACTCGGACATTTTCATTATTTTCTTGGTAATTTATAGAACTTAACGTGGAAAATATTACATCTTGTAGCAAGTTCCGGATAGTGTGTTCACACATAACCCTACTAATAGGCTTTAAAACTGTTTTTAACATTTTTCTTCTCATAATCATAAGTTAGTCAAAACATGGGATATAATACACAATTTAAAGAGATCAATAATTCTAAAGCTAACAGACATTAATTTCATCTAATCTAATCCATCCTAACAAATATGTCGTAAATGGACAATGATCTCTAATAGCGTTTCAAAGTTGTTTTCATTCATCTCAAATATGTCCTGCCTTTTATTTTGCCAGAGCTAATGCTTTTTGGACTTGTGTCATTGGTAATTGGTCATTGGATCAATCAAGTGAAAGCGTTGTTACATAATTTTTCCTCTTGTTGGCTGCAGCCGGGAATGGTAACAACTGATCTTCTGTTGTCTGGAGCTTCTACAAAGCAGGTAGAATGTGTATTGCATATTTCCTTGATTTCTTTTGTGAAGCTTTTGGATCAATCAAGTGAAAGCGTTTTATTTATTACAGGCCAAGTTTTTCATTAATGTTTTGGTAGAACCGGCAAAAGTGGTAAGAGTTTATTGATGTGGTGATCTACCTAAGGGAGTGATGTACAAACAGTGTTTTTAATTCCTTGTTTTTGAGTTTTAGGTGCTTGCTTTGTTTCAATAGTCATCTGAATTCATGATTATGGATTGTGATGTTCGATGAAATAAATCATATGGTTAGGTTTTCCAAATAGGCAAATGTACATACAAGACTTAGAGATGAACCGTTTAGACACAACATTCTAGGCTATGATCAACTATTGACTGAATTATCTCGTCCCAAACATCAGATCTGTCCCTGCCAATGGATTGAGCAAGCCCACTTGCATTCGTTTCCTTACTGGCTTGAAAGCATACTCTTAGATATTCTCAGTTAAGTGGAAAAAAAAAATGAAAAGAACTTTTGATTCTTGGTTTTCTATATTTAAATTGTGGTTATTAATCCTTTTGTTTTTTGGCCGTATTGTGTAGAGATTTGGTTTTGGTGCTAGGAGGAATCGATATTTGCTTGAAGATTGATGAGGATCAGAGGTCTAATATGTCCATACAACATATTTTCTTTCACATAAAATTTGCTGCTGCTCTCTCTCTCTCTAGCTTTTGTGGTCAAGATTTGCATTAAATCATTGGCCTAGCTGTTTCTATACATGTGTAGCAAACTCAAATGTTTTGGAGACTGTCTCTACAATGCCTTACAATTATTTGCTTATTATTGTGCTAAACAAGACTGTCTCTCTCTGTCTGTCTGTCTCGCTCTCTCTAAATATGTATATATATATATATATATATATATTCTAATTATTTTGATTAGGGATAAGGTAGTGAGATTGGGAGAGTCAAATGGCATGTAAATAACCAAGTTAGACCATGAGAAGATGGTCAAATTGAAGATATATATATAATTTCTGATTATTTTGATTATTTTGATTATTTGCTTGTGATCCCTATAGATGTTGTTCTCTCGTGAAATTCGATTTTGTAGTTTGCGTATATGAACCTAATAATATTCCCCAATTTTGTATGTTATTTGGTAAAGTTTGTAAACCAGAATGCTTGAGTTTTAAGAAATTTATTACTAGGTAAATGTTTCATTTTCAAATGAAATTGTAGGATGACACTAGTGTTAAATTATGAAGAAATGATAGAACTATCGGCGTAAACATTTATAGTGTACTTTGAGCCAAAAAAAAAAAAAAAACTAGTTAAAAAGCATGTTCTAACCTTATTTATTACAATTTGAATGTTTTTAATGTGTTTTGTAAAATAGTATTGAATTCTATGTTGCCTTTTAAGGCAAAAAATGTGGACAATTTCACCTGACAAGGGAATTTCGCTATCTATGATAATTGGAAATGATATTAAGATCTGCAAAGGTCAGTGGTTCGAATATGAAGAACTTGGTTAGAACTCACTAGCGGCGTCTTGACCACTCTTTCAAATATACCATTCACCATCATTCGGGTAAGGCTTTTAGCATCCTTTTTGACCCTCTGATTGAATTTGGGCTTTGTGTTTTGGGGGAAGCCAAGAGTAGCTGGTACTGTTTCTACCCAGTTAAGAAGTTTTCACACTCCACCTGTCTGATAAAATGCTTCAGTGAAAATGCAATGGCACAATGAGGAAATAGAGGCTGGATTCTGGTAATGAGGCAACGGGACAGAGGTGGAGGTTCAAGGTAAGGAGGTTAAGCATGGACTATTCGCTTTATTTTTGGATAATTTACCTGTAGCTATGGATGCTAAAACTCTGTCCAAACTATTCACTCAGTTTGGCTTAGTTAAGGATGTTTTTATACCCTTCAAAAGAAGGACAATGTCAAACTCTAGATTTGGTTTTGTGAGATTTGACTGCCCTGTAGTAGCAGACATTGCCATCCAAAAAGCCAATGGTCTGTTGGTAGATGAAAGGGTGTTAGAAGTTAAAAAAGATACCAATATCAAGAGTAACAGAGCTGAACAGAGAAGGAGCAGACCTCAGATCATCAGAAGACCTCTTGAAACTAATAGAAACAGGGATGATGTTTCATTTACAGGTCGTAGATCATTCGCTGAAGTATTAAAAGGGGTCACTCCCACTGTGGCTGAGAAACAAGATTGATCATAAAAGCCAATGAAGAGGGTAATGGTCGGCTTTATGATAGTGCAATAGTCAGGCTTAATTCTGAATACTCTACTAGTAGCATTGAAAATGTCCTGAAGGAAAAAGGGTTGGATCAGGTATTGGTCAGAAAATGGGGAGGAAGAGATATAGTATTAACCTTCAAATCTCAAGAGGAGCTGAAATCAAATATTTGCAATATCAAAGAATGGTTTAAGAATTGGAGTCAGTTTGTGGTAGAATGGAAGCCCGGAGTTTATCTAGAACAAGAGAGATGTGTGTGGTTGAGGTGTTATGGCTTATCTCTAAGTCTTTGGAATAGGGACACATTCAACAACATTGGAAGCTTTTGGGGTACTGTTCTAAGCTTGGATGATGATATTTGCCAACCAAAGTCCTTCTCCCATACTAGAATCAGAGTGGCTACATCTTCTATGGAGATTATTAACAAAAATATATTTTTGGAGTGCAAGGGTAAACTTCATCCCATTCTTGTGTGTGAAGAACATTTAGCAGATAGTAGCATCATGAAGCACGGTGGTTTGGAAGAGTGCAGCTTCAACGAAATATGTGGCAGTGGTGTGGAAAGAACAATTCCAGAGGGATGCTACAGGGAGAAGGAGGGAAAAAGTGTGATGGAGGTTAACACAGTTGTTGAGGAGTCAAAGTGCAATGGAGTTTTCAGCGGAGAAGAGAATGCTTGTTCCAAGGAGGTAGAGCAGAGGACAAGGCCTAGTGATTGTCATTTGGGAGAGGAGGTTAACACAGTTGTCAAGGAGACCGTGATGGAGGAGTCAATGCACAACCCGAAAATTAATGTTGAGCAAGCTTTTACTCCTGGTTTTCCTAGGAGCTTTAGTGGATCTAGTGATGGGCATGGTCATGGTATTAATCTTGATGTGGATTTGGCCCAAGCACTAAGTATGAACTTAAATGGGAAAGGTTTTCTGAGCCCAAATCATTCAGGCTCAGGGAGGCAACTTGCATCTGCCCCTAAACTCTTGCGGAATGAGAAGAAAAAAAAGAAAGAAGAAGGTTCAGCTAGAGGGGTTCTCCAGTTTTGCTAGACTTCATGGGCATAAAGCTGCAGCAGTCAGCAACCACACCTCTAAGTCTGTCATCTTCAGACCAGCAACAGTTGCGATAGCTCGTTCAGATCTGTCTGAGGGTGTTACTAGCCCAAGCAATTTTCCAATAGGCAATAGGCACGACCGGGCCTAAGTGTGAGGTCGGTCAGTGCCGTCCAGCTGTCATGCACTGCTCCTTCTCATTCTCTATAAATGGTGCTCCCATGCTGTTTTTCTAGTAGAATAGCAAGTCTTTGATATTTTTCTCCCAAGATGGAGACATTGTGTAACAATAGGCTCCGAGATTGGATAGCCACTTTGGACAGCTCGAAAAAGATGAATTTTCACGGTTTTGACCTAAATGCCCTTTTTTTCTATAAGTTGCACTTCTCTTTGTTTTCTATTCCTCCATGCTGCTATTCGATATTGGAACCCGATCACCTGTGTGTTTCAACTCGGATCACAAGAGGTGTGTCCGACACTAGAGGAATTTCGAGCTTTGATGGCCTCCCGACGCAACGAAAAAATCGTACCGCAGCCCCGTTTTGGCCATGCCCAAGCTTTGGGACGGATGTGTGGGTTAACATTACATGAGGCTCGGTCTTTGGCACATGATGGGGAGCTAGAAATCCCTGGTTTAGTTCATCGATTTTCCGTCATTGGAGACAAGACTGACCTTCTTTGGCGAGGCCGTCGACAACATGCTCTCTATTTATGCCTTCTTACATAATTCCTCCTTGCCCCTAGTTTCGGCAGAGCTAGCATCCAGTTTGGCAGATCATCTCTTCTACTACTAGCGGCTTTGGGAATGCTTCCTTACCATCTTCGTCAAGGGTCAAAGCATGCTTCAGTGAACCTTCCATTACCGTTGAAAACTGCAATGGGGCCAGATGCCTCCATCATTCTTCCTTCTAATTCGGCTACCATTTCCTGCTACTTCATATTGATCACGTTTGCCTTCTTTTCCTAAGTTGCTTTATACCACATAGCATACGGTATCTCTCTTCTCCATTATTTGTGTTGGCTATGGATCACCTTGCAGGGTTGCACCCAGTCCTAAATCAGCCTCAAAGTCTGTCTCATAGGGAATTTTATTGAAGTTGAAAGTAACTTGCTCTTTGATAAGAAAAGATACATAGGGAAATGAAGATGCTCTAATTCAAGCAAAATAAGGCAAAGGGTCGGCAGCATACACATAGGTGTAGGTGCTCCGCTCGTATTTGTCGCGGTCATTAGCTCAGTTGTTCTACCGGTCATTTATCCACCAATTAGTAAATATCCCATTTCCTCCATCTCTTAGCTCCTCTGCCATCTAGAATCAGTCATCCGTCCAAAAATATGATTTCTGCAAATAGAGCTACTTCCCGATGTGCCATATCTTTTAATAGTTCTTATCTCGTCCTTGAGTCTAGTCGTGAATCCCTAGCTTGTTCGATACTGACTCCATTAAATATTGATATTTGAATGAAAGTATAGTGTCAAGTGTTCAGTCAAGGCTGTAACCAGGTTAAGGCAAGCAAGGGAAAGCAACTGAAGAAGACTTATCCAATTAGGCTTTCCAGTCCTGTTCCCCTTAACAAAACACTTTCTACATTGGCTTTCTTGAAAGAGCCATGCTAAGTAGAAATGTGCCTACCAAACGGTACTGATTTGCTGCTCGAATGTTGAATGAAATGAAATATTGAATGAGTCTAGCGAAGGACCCCATCTCCTTTCTTCTTCTAACTATGCTCAGGTGCACCTAGGTCTTATGACCTAGTCGTCAAGAGAGTAGGGGCAAAGAGGTCTTCTTTCTCCAAGCCACAACTCGAACTCAAGAGAGGACGAGTGATCTGGTTTTGAACAAAATACTCGAAACCTCTCCTATCTATCTTCTAGATAGGCCCTAGCTCTTGCAAGAACTCGATAACCAGCCCTCGTAAGCCGAAGAAGGGTAAAAAATTCTTTTACATTGTACCGATTCTTGACCACGGAAAGATCCATTTTCCTTCGACACAATAGAAGAGCACGTATAGAAATCAGTGAGAGATCTATGGATGCGTCTGCTATCATGAAGCATTTTGTAAACTCCAGAGCTCCCGACTCAGATACCAAAGATTTACTCTATGATATACTAACTTGGAGTTCGGTGAGCATGCTCTTGTATTCTGCCGTTACCTTGGTATCCCCGATGACAACATCATCACTGAGAATAGCATAGGCCTTGAATCTCTTAGCATCGGGATAAAGCCACTCTGCTGCCATCCACACTATCATATGATGTGATAATATGAAGAAAGGCCAAAAGGAGTAGTAACCTAATGGTTGACCAACAATAAACAACATATACCATTCCTGCCGCACCACCGAAGGTGTAACCATTATATAGGCTAACCCCAGACAAGCGTGTACAATGGCAGACTTAACATACTGATCAAACAAACATTACAGCCATCATCTGGTAGATGACCACTTTAGGCCATATATCCGTCACCAATTTCAAATCAAAACTATATCTTTAAAACCCATGAGGGACTGCAAGGGCTTTGTTTGATTATATGTACCGTCTTGT